TTTGCATTTTATTTACATTCTACACAGCGTCCCAACTTTTTTGGAAATGGGGTTGTAATTAGGCTGATAATTCAGCATTATGCACGTACTGACACTTGTCCTTGCTGTAAGTCATAGTATAACAAGATAACCCTGCACAGAGTGTATTTACTTACTCAGTTTATCAGATATACACAAGCACACGGGCTACCAAACACAGAGTGCATTACACAGCACGACTCAATGCCATCATTCTTTAGGTAACCCGAGGCCGACCGGAAGGAATAATCCCGGTTGACCTTAACTAATGCGTAATCGTTCTTTTCTCATCGTCCGCCGTAGTCTGGCATTAAGTAACCAAACACAAACAAAGTCTACAACAGCGTCGGCATTCAAAATATTCCTCCCAGAGTTTCACGTTTCCATGGCGCTGGAATGCATCTGAAAAACAGGACAGGGGGCCAAGCATCCTATAAGCTCAGAGTGCGGACCCTGATCAGTGCTACCACCAGCCCAACGTGATTTACGTCAGTGTCAGGCCTGGAGAAACTGATCTGAGATCAGGAGTCCAGCTCTTAATGAATGCAGGACCAGCAGGAGCTTCTGTAATTGGCAGTCTTTCAGAAGTGCAGCGCGTGAGATATTAGTCCTACTGTTTCGGCTGTTGGCTTCTGTTTCTGAAAGCACTGAATTTACCTCGTTCTAATGTACTAATTTCACCACAATCGTCACAAAACTGTCCTGCTGTTTACTTACTTTTAGCAACAACTGCTGATGTAATATTTCATTCATGCAGAAATGATGTACTTTTTTCAGTGCAGACACAAACACAAACACACAATCAGTCTCAGTCTTTTTGCTTCTATTAAATTTCACCACTGTTGTAAGCAAACTAAGTGTATCGGCGAAGAAAGGTCGTTCTTAGCTAAGCATCTATTAATGTAACACGAAAGGTTTGCTTTTCAGAGTTTCTATTGTTTAGTACGAGTCAGCGATACTGCAAAAATATAATATTACAACATCACAAAGATAATTTCTTGATATATAACATGCCTCATGATATTTACACTAAATTAGACATCATGATATTTTCTTCATACATGATATACGTCACAATATTCTGTTTTTGAAGAGATCTAACAAGTTGGAACAGGCATAAAAAAAACTATGGATGATTTTTATTCAGTGTTTCAGTCCCTGCTCTGCACTGAATACCATTAGCCAGGATTAATTACTCCCTGTTTGTAATCAAACATGCAGTTGGTCAGTGTTCAGCTGATGATATCCATGATCTGTTTCGAAAGCATACTGTGACATACCATGATACGATTTATCACAACACCTATAAACACCGTACAGGGATGTTAATGATTAACGGATGAACCATTAACTAACAAATACATAGGTGTCCGACCAACGCCTTTCGGTTAAAGAGTTTAATTTAATTTTCAACAAACAACTAACATTTGAGTAGGCGGGGTTTCCACTTCACTTGAGGACCGGTCGGTAGCCCAACTCAGCCCTTAAGACGCACAGCTCTGGGTTTTCTGGAGTTGACTCCAATTCTCAACTCCTGAACTGCCCTTATTTTTAACCAATAGCATCAGAACGTTTACATTGGTTTACCAAAACAGCGCAACTAGGATATTTATCCACATGACGCAGCGCTCGGCTACCACCAACTGTCTTTTTAATATTTTTAATATAAAACGTCTTTTTATGTTGCTTCTGTTGAGAACAGCCTTAAGATACGACCTACAAATGTGCTCACGGTTAGTCTATGCAGTGTTTAGGGCTGAACGATTTGGGGAAAATATCCCATCGCAATTTTTCCGACTAAAGTTGCGACTGCAATTTAAATTGCGATTTTTTTCACATTTTATTCAGGCCTGATTTGTTTTGGCCGAGAACACAAAAACATCCACTATTTTCAGTTTCAGGCTTCACCCCTGAACGTAGTGAGCATTTTTTTGAAAAATGTTCTATATAGCACCAAAACGTTCTTCTACTGTTACAAGCTTGACATTGTTACAACAGCAGACCTTTTTTTGGTGCTACATAGAACCATATATAACAAATTCTCCATCTGAAGAACGATTTCACCATGCAAAGAACCATTTCAGCAGGCAAATGGGTCTTTGAGTGATCATGGTTCTATATAAAATGACTGTCTTTACTTAAGAACCCTCTTTTTTAAGAACCTTTAAGAATCTTTTTAAGAGGGTAGACCTTCAAGCTAGTCCCAGCCAGACTATATACTGCGCAAAAAGTATCTGCATTTTTAGCGATTTTTACTTTTGTCCATCATTTGAGCAGTTGGCCTTTACATTGAGTAAACATTTCAATGGATCAACAAAAAGGTTTCGAAATTGTTTGGATTAAAAGCTCTTTATATTCATTTATATTAAAAGTAAGGGCGTATTTTGATTAACTTGGGCTAATAACGTGGCAAATGTAAGTAAACAGGTAGACAACAGTGCGTTAGTGTCGTATCTTTTACTTTAAGCTATGTTTTTTTTTTTTATTCAACGAAGCACAAAGACTTGTATATTTAAAACGCAGAGCTGTGATGTTTTCATGGATTGGGTTTGTGGTTTTAGGTTGGTCGGCTAATTATTAATCACAGAGAAATAATGGTTCTCAGTCAAAAGAACGTACTAAAACTAGCATCCCTAATATCGTCACACTGCCCGTCCCTAACACAATAAGAACAGCCACTGCCGTTTTCAAATAGTGTTTAAAATATTCAAAAAATGAGATTGTCGACAATATGGTGCTCTAAGACTCTGACACACCCAGAATGTGGAGGGCTGTTCTCTCTCAGCAGTAACGAGCCACATGTGCGTGAGCGTGTGTTAAAGGACCAACTGTTGTCCCCTCAAAAACAAACAGCTCCCCTGCCACACTCCACACACACGGATCTGTTTCCACACACTAAGCACTTTGAGAAACTTTGGCATTTTCCCTCCAGACCAGCGCAGACCACAACTTTCCGCTAGCCCTACGCACTGATATAATTATAGCCAAGTATGACCCACTGGACTTCCCCCCCAGCCCCTGCACACATCCTCCACCAGCCCTACGTTCATATCTATGATCATATCATTAGAGCAGTGCAGGACCTGCTGATGAACACGCTCAAACACAGCTACTGAGGACACAGTGCTCCATATCTACGGGAACATGAACCCAAACCAGCTGGACATCCTTTTTTCTACACAAAGCACAGAATTGCGCTCCTCCATCCTTATCTGGAGTTCAGAATCTGCCACCTGTAACGCAGTAGGACAAATTGGCCTTTGAATCTGATAAAATTTGATGGATTACGTGGTGAAAACAAAGCTCCGTTTGGTTTCAGGGTACAAGATGTGTTCCAGACACCCAAATCTTATCCTGCACAGCGAGTGTGTATTCGTCTTAGAGATAAAACACAAAAGCTGGAGCAGAGCAGATAGCAGTAATCTGCTTCCCGGCTGCAATCAGTTCACTCTTCCGTCATTCCAGCTCCACCAACACCGCTGATGTAGCAGGATAGGATTTGGGCAGCTCTGCTGGAGACATTTCGACAAAAGCATGAACATTTTGTTAATCAACGAAAGCACAAAATCTCCGTAACCGAAACCCCGTCACCACAGCGCTGAGTGCCGCGTGTTAGTAGCATGATGTTAAGGAGTGCTAGTGAGAACCCTCCACCAACGTGCAGCTAACTACAGTCCCATCGTTACATGAGCCTTCATTAGTGAGGAAGAGGAAGGGAAACGACCCGCCACCGGTTACAGAGTCCAGAACAGAGTCCTCGGCCCGTCCACCCCTTTGCTTTTTCTCCACAGGGGCGGCCGTGACGACTGAGGTTCGGAATGAGTGGAGGTGAGGATGTGTGAGGATGTCCCCAGGAAAGAGAGAGATGCTGCCTTTGTGTGCTTTTCAGAAGCCATATTGACAAATTCTTTGGGTTTAAGCGCTTTATAGTTCTCCTCCTATTAGTTTGGCCCTAAATGTCTACGGCCTAATTTGTCTGACCGCTAAGATCCATCAAATTTACTTGATTCAAATGTGTATATAGTTACCAACTGTATAAAAACATAACGCAATAAATCCACACAGTTATTACCACGTTATTATAACATTACACTAGAATTCCATTCATTTTTCAGCATTTCTGCATAATAATATCATTAGGATGTAAACAAAGTCACTCAGAGTGGTTTGATGTGAAACGCTCTGTTCTAGAGTCACATTTGTTCACAGTGGTGGTGATAGGAACCAGACGTCTGGTAGAGTTTAATGCCTCTTAAGCAGCCACACAGAAATTTACAACACAGAATATGCTGCCTGATGTCTGAGACATTGTTTTATAGTAGTTTTGAGAAAAGCTGTCAGCCTAAAATGCTTTTTTTATCCATTCATGGTCAAGAGGTACAGGCAGGGTGTTAAAAGGAAAAAAATAATGTTCCACCATTTTACCATTAACATTACATACAAGACGTGTAGGTTCACTGGGAGTTTTGGATTTGTGTTATACACATTGTGACCCCTGGTTCCCATCAACACCACTGTAAAGAAGTCGGTAAATCTTTCTACAATTGATTTTTTCACATTAAACCACTCTGAATGACTGTTTACATCTCATGAATTATGTACGTTTTGTAGAAATGGTGGAATTCCTCTGTAAAATTGAAAAATTTCTGTTTAAATAATATAAGCAGAAATTATGTGATAATTTGAATCATAAACTAAAATACATTGCTTTATTTTCGGTGTAAGCTGCTTTTAGATAGTGAATTTCCTACTATTAACCACTGAAACAATCCTCTCCTTGGCCATGATGAAAGGAAAAGGTTAGTAACAAGTCAGGAGCTTGAATATCAACATTGTTATATGTATTTATATTTACGACAATTGAGCTAAACTTTTTGGAGTTATTCAAAAAGCACATGAAGGCAGCGAGAAATAGGCTGAAAGAAAGAGAGAAGGAGACTGAGAGTTGGGGAAGCTCCTCCGTCCCTCTGCAGCGGCTGTACCTGGCTGGGGCCCTCCAGCGGAGCCCACGCTGCCGGGCTTGGCTGTGTGTGTGGCGCTGGCCGGATGAGCGGAGGCTTTTGGCCACGCCTGGCCGTCCTGACCCTGAGGCCCACGCAGGGAGGAGCCAGCTATTCTCTGCCGCATCTCAGACGAAAGGACGCGGCCCTTGTGCATCCACTCCTGCATCTTGTTGACGGTGACTCCGGGCGGTTTGCCCAGCGTTCCAGTACATGCACTTTGGCTCAGCTGCTGTGAGATGGAAGGCCCGGATTTTTGGGCTGGAACATCTGGAGAATCGGACGAACCGACCAGGCTGCTGATGGAGCCGCTGCAGCGTTCAATCGAGCTCATGTCTGAAACCAAGGCCTCAGTTTCTGTGTTCTCTGGGTGCAAACACTCATCCACTGGCTCACATACAGGAACCGTATCATGTACAGCCATGGGGTCAGTCATGGAACCACTCTGGGTCTCCATATGTGGTTCTCCCGGGCTCTGATCCACTGAGGCGGTGTGGTCAGGCAAGCCTGCGTTTCCCATGTGTTCCAAAACTGTGGCCTCAGTTACGATGAAAACTGCAGAGGTTGCTGGCTCATATGCAACAAGTGTATTGTCCAATGCTATGGGCTCAGGGACAGAGCCGCTCTGGTTCACCGTGCACGGCTCACCCTGACTCAGTTCTGTACTATAGCGGACGCCCGAGTCACTCGCAGACCTCTGCAGTTGTGGCCTGCAGCTTTCAGGGGCCAAGCACTGTAGACTCCTGCTCTGAGAGCCTCCAAATCTGGCTCCACAGCTCTCACCCAAGTCCAGCAGGGCCCAGTCCGAGCCACAAGCCTGCTGGCCGCTGTGCTGTCCGGAAGAGCACGTGTCGCTCTCCGCCAGCCTGGTGGAGGACCGCGAACACACGCTCCTCACGCTGTCCCGGGACTGGCTGGAGCTGCCGCTCTGCGCCTGTCCGTCAAAAGCCATGCTGCGCGTGGTGTTTATGAGGAAGCAATAAGCTTCTTTCAGCCGAGTCCTCAGCCTGTCTGTTTCTTCCTGAGACGACTGGACAAAGTGGACCGACATGGACTGCGATGCTCCAGCGCTGCCGTTTAACCCCAGGTTTTGAGCCCCAGATCCATAGAGAGGCAGAATTTCATTGTCATAGTAGTCTTCATCCTCGCTGTCCACAGAGTTGTGCCGGTTTGACCCCTCTGTGTCCCACAGGAGCCGTGGGCCCACTTTGGAGTCCAGTATTTCCAGCTCGGTGGGGAAAAACGCAGGACTCTGCAAAGCTGGCATCCTCAGATCTCTTTCGAGCGAACTTTCGATGAGGTGGATCAGACCAAGGTCATCCGCGTTTGCGTGGAGGATACGTAAAAGGCCTGACCCTGAACTCACTGAGCTGTTCGCGTCCAGCAGACGACCGTTGATGCAGCTGAACTGGACCGGCTCTGCCGGCTCGGCTCCGGCTCTCAGGCTGACCGAACTGGCCCCTTGATCGAGCACCAGAGCTCCGTCCCAGCCCGCTTCCCTGCACTCACTCGTCCCGTTTCTCTTCCAAGCAGCCTCGGGTAGTCTAACGGTCCTCCGGTCCCCGTGTTCCAGCCCAGTACTGCCCCAGCTGGCGTTACCGAAGCCTATGGAGTCTCCGCCGGCGAGCTGCTCTCTCCTCCGGCGTTCGTCCCAGAAGCGACCGCCTCCGTCGTCTCTCCCGTTAAAGTTTTCTCCGTTCTCGCGGAGCCCCGAGACTAACCGAACCACCCCGCCGTCCAAACCCCCGTTCAAACACCGACCCTGCTTACCTCCGCTGGCCGTCGAGTCCAACTCCACCGCCGCGACCGCTCGGCCACTCAGCTGCGGCGAGTCCGCCGTCGTCGTCGTCGGCGGCGAAACTTTTGCCTTAAAGTTGCCCCCGCCGCCGCCGTTAGCCACCGCCGCCTTCTTCGCCTTCTTCCCCCTCAGTTTGGCTAACAGAGTCCTCCGCAGAGGATCGGCCATTCCTCAGGGCTTCGCTTCGGCGCTGCTTCTCTTCGCTTCGGCCAGTCAAAGTCGACTTTCCCGAGCCGCTCCGCCGTGTGGAGTCGCCCCGTGAGGCGCCACGGTTCGCTCCATGCCCCGCGTACCGCCCCGGGGCTCCAGGTTTCGGCTGCGCCTCACTTTAACCGACTTAACCGCCGTTAACAGACTGACCGACTGTTACTCCTCCGCTAGCCGTTAGCCGCACGCGCTGCTTTAATTTTTTGTTTTGTGCTTTTTTTTCTTCTAACC